AGGCGGGGTTTGGACGTCCAGTCTAAAAACTAACCGGTTGATTCGGTTGACTAGCTAGGTCGGCTGATTGACTAATTGACGCGTCGGTTGTCGTGGCAACTGATTGGCTAAGCAACAACACTGACATGATTAGTGTGAGGCCATAGGGTAAGTGTGCAGATGATGTAATGCGGCCGCTCCCATCCGCTTCTTCTTCTCTTTCTCCAATCTCCTGCACAGGCAGAGCAGTTTGGATCTACATTCTTGATGTCGTGCACACACACACGCACACACACGCACGCACACACACGCACACACACGCACACACACACAAACACACACTCCCTCTCTCTTCTGTCTCTCATAAGTTTCTCATGTTGATGTTTTCAATTGTGTCAATAAAAGGCAGTTTATGTTGAAATTCCTTCTCGTTTCTCTCCCTCCATCCCCCCAGCTCCATAAGACAGACACAGACTGCATGAACAAAAACATTTAGGTAGGCCAAGTTCACGTCTGGGAGGGGTTGCTAAAGGGGGCCCGGGGGGTGCTCTGAGGACCAGATGTGCTTTTCTTTTTGGGGGGGGGGGCAGTGGAAGGAGGGAAGTGGAAGGAGGGGATACGTTGGGCTCCGCAGAAAGCAGAGAGTCCTGGAAAGTGTTGTAGAGAAGTTTGCTGAGACGTCACTGTGCTGTAAATTCAGCTCACGGAGGAGCAGGAGGAGATCTGTGCAGCTGGACGGGTTCATTGTAAAATAGAATCTTGTTTGAGGATTTTACTTCTCGGTCGACACTTTATATTAAATGTTAAAAACACACATTTTTTTCAAAATGAGATAAATATCCCCAATAGGCTCATAAATCCGAGGGGCTGCATATTTTTGCTGCACAAAATTGTTTATTTCTCTCAAGAGTTCTCTCCAATATTTGCTTTCTTCTCCTTGAATATTGGGTGTAGTTTTATCTCTTCGCGACTCACAAATTCAAATTATTCAAATGAAAACAGTTTAAGGAGGAAAAAACAGTGAAAAACAGCTCGCAGTCACGCTGAACTGTGGTGACACCGATTCATTTGAATATGAACCAAAAAGGATGGGAGAGACTGATTCAGCAGGCTGGATCGATGTTATGGAGAACCAACAGAACAAAAAGGTCAAAGGTCAGAGTTGTTAACAAAAAAAACAACAACCAAAAAACAAACTCTGATTGTGTTCAACACAAAAACAGAGGCTTGAACAGATATTGTTTGTAGCAAGTGGTTCAATATGTAATCCATATTTGATGTGCATTGTTCTTAAGAGCTACAGAAACAGGTTGTTCAGTCACACAGAGTCAGTCACACAGTGTTGAGATGCTTTGTTTACTTTAATTGAAATCTAGTGTTTCGTTTAACCCTAGCAACAAACTTCCCCCAGCCTTGACCAAATCCCTCTTTTTTTGTTGTTGTTGTTTTTCGGGTCACCTAGCTTGAGGACTGTAAATCAAATATTCACCTTTGCCTGTGTATCACCTTCCTTGACCATCGAGCTAGGCTATTCCTCAAAGACAAGAGGTTATAATACGTCCTCAGAGCAGCGCTACGTCTTCAGGGCAGACTGGAGGCTAGAGTGAGCTGCTATCGGAAAAGTGAACGGACGGGCTAGCCTGGCTAGTTAGCATGCTAACTTCAGTAGAACAAAAGACGTGATAGAGACAAGAGCAAACATTTTCCACCTCTGGAGACGACTCTTGGTGAGTAAACGAATGAAGCTTGATGCTGAACTCAAATTGCTTCCTCTATAATGGTTTAGTAAACGGCTGCTAATGCTAACGTTAGCTATGTAGCGTTAGCAAAACTTACAAATAGCTTCTTTAAAAACTATTTTGCTGTTATTGTTTTCGTCTTGGCAACAAAACAAACAAAAAAAAAGCTTTGACCCTCCAAACTCTTGTATGAAATCGTATCTTTGATAGATTAACAAAAATTGTGCATTAAACAAGTCAACAAACAATAAATAAAACAATCAATATTACTGATAAATATGTATAAAAGTGCATGAAAACAGAAAAAAGGTGAGGCGAAAAAAATGATGAGAAGGAATTCAAAGCTGTGTAATTAAAGGTGATTAATTTTTATACTTAATATGTCATGCATGGACACAGAACCATTAGTATGTAGGTAAAAGTTCTTCAAAACACAGAGGAGAGACACATTAAAACGATTAATCAATTAATCTGAGCAAGTGTTAGATTCTACCAAATGTCATTTTTGGAATGAAACTCTTGATTCATGCGTCATCTCTCATGAGAGGGAGGTGAGCGGAGGACAAATGATAATTTAGTGAGATTTACGGCGGAGGATGTGAGCAGCTGGCAGGGGGGAAAACAGTTGTGAAGCAAGAGGGATTCAAACAGCTCCAGAGAGAGGGAGGATAGAGCTCCTCCACCCTGCTCCTCGGAGTCCAGGGGGCCACGTCATGTGCCCCAGGGGCTCCTGCAACTGATCTGGTTTCTTAAAGAGATACTCTGACCGCGCTCTCCGTGCACTTGTTGTCACTTTGTGTGGGAGGAAAGAGATAAATCCACTCTGAGAAGTTGGTAATGTTGGTTGACCAGAGAGTTTTGGCTTGGATCGGTGGTGTGTTCAGGGACTATGAGGGGGGGAAAAAAAAGCAGGAAAACAGAAAGCTGAGGAGGAGGCGTTCGCTGTTATGCTAAAGATCCTCTCGGTGAAATCTAATGATGGTCTTGTGACTATGTTATGTAATGCATCTGATGAGTAATCTACACAGGTTGTTCTGATCTTGGGTCAGACTCGTGGGAAACTGGTGTCACGTGAAAACAATGACATAAGTTTTAGCTACAGGATTTTTTTTATGCATAAAATTGTGTCTGTTTTTAGACTTGATATTTGTATTTTTACTCACTAGTATCTGCAGACTCCTCTAATGCAACTCAGATTAAAACTTCAACCCAACTTCATGCAAATATAATAATGTGTTTTAGCTAAAGGAGTGAATGTATGGAATGGTTGTCGAGAGAAGCTGAAAAACGTGCAGTTTTCACTTTCACTTGTCGTGTCAAACAGGTTGTGTATAGTTAAAAAAGTAGCAGGTTTCTACTGTACTGTTTCTTTTTAAAGTAATTAACTACAATGAGCCACAAATTTGTACAAGATGTACGAAACAATCAATTTAGAGTAAAAACAGAGCTTCATGTTGTCTTGGTTCATTTCTTCTCTCACTCAGGAATTCGTGTCCCCTGGTTTTTCTTCTTCCGCTCATTTCCAGACCCAGTTGTTTAAATCATGTCTCATTTCTACAGCGTGAAGCCTCCAGTGACGTTTTCTTTCTTTCATTCTTTCATTCTTTCTTCTGGTTTCAGGCTTTCCACCAGATTTTGGAACCTGGCTGCAGCGTTTCGCTCCAGTTCAACCACAAGACCATCGGTGAAGTCCAACTTAAGGTCCGTCCCACAGTCGCTGTTCCAGCTCATCTTGAAGGAGCTGGGTGGAGTTGAGGTCAGGGCTCTGTGCAGACCACTCAAATTTACACAGTCAACTGTATACGAAGATGGACGTAACCTTCGGAGTGGGCTGCTCCGCCGTCGCCATCTTGGCAGTGCCTGACTCCGCCCAACTCCTGGCTAATTCCAAAAATGGGCAAAGGGGAGAGGCGTGTGTGGAGACTTCGGTGCCAACCGGTTTGTAGCAAGCATACGCTCCCCCACCTGTCACTCAAAGCAACCACACCTTCAACTATGCATACCCTGTGGAGATTGACTCACTGTTGGGGCCAGCCTCAAGTGGCCATTAGAGGAACTGCAGTTTTTGGCACTTGCTTGTTGGCTTCATTTTTTCAGCCCCGGAAGATGATTGATGCTTCGTTTTTACACACTAAAGTGGGAAAAAACCATTTCTTTATGAACCCTGTTTTTTACATGGACACTTTTATGTTAGAACAGGAAAGGGACAAACACAAACCAGCGCCACAACACACAATATTATTAAAATACAACCGCACACAGTAGCATTAAGATTAAGGGGCAACAAACCGTGACTAACAGCCCCACACTAAAAGTTTGTGGGCAGGAGTCTCCACTCATTTAATTTGTCTTTCACCTACCCACACATGCACACGCATAGTCACACGTGGGCGCGCACCGTTACGCGCAGCGGTGCGTGAAGGACTCCGGAACACTTCATCCATCCCCCGTCTCCTACACCCTCAGTCTCTTCTTCTTTCAACCTTCCAGTCTCTTTTTCTCTTCCTCCTCTTCATCCTCCTCCTCATCTTTCTTCTCCTCTTCATCTCTCTTCCTCCTTCAGACAGGTTTTTTTTTTCTTCACGGGAAACACCAGACTGTTGCTCCCCGTGTCGCCGCGTCAAACTTGACAAAATAAGATGCGACTTTTGTTATTTCGCTTCAAAATAAAAGCACGTAGAGGGTTGAACACTATCAAGTGGTCTAGAAAATTTAAATCACGCCAAAAATGTCATAAAAACAAAATTGCAGGATAAAATTGTGCATTTGTTTCATAACTAATGTGGAACAAAAAAATCAGAATAGCCATTAAAGTGACAGACTGACACATGGATACTTCTTCTTTTTAGATTTTGAGTATGCAAAACCATTTAGCTAACATAAATACTTTTAAAATACAAAACTAAAGTCACAAAGCAATAAGAGAAAAGTCAGTTTTATCAATTTCAAGTAAATTCTTCGTTGCATAATATGTTATCTTTAGTATGGCCAATGTAGTAGAATATATTAAAGTTAAACTCTACATTTATATCGTATCTAAGATTATATATCAGTGTATTTATACTAAAATAACAACGACAATTAGACCTAAGATCATCCTTAAATCCACTTGGACACTTCGGTGGTTTTGATAAAGAATATGGGCTAAATTCGGGCTTTGATTTTGAAAGTTCGAACCGGATGTTTTCTGTATTACACTCTGATTGTCTTGACAGCAGTCGTCAGAGCAGCTGAGTCTCTCCTCCACACCGACAAGCAGTGAAAAGCTCGTTCCCAGTCAAAAACAATGAGGGCGCACGACGCGCAACTCGCTCCAAGCCTCTCCACCAGCGGCGGAGTTTTCCCTCCCGGAGGAGTCGTAGCATGCGTCTGTGCGCCAACCGGAGGGAGAAGGACCACAGGAATATAACTTGACCACGCACGGACTTTGTTATTTCTTTTTTTGTTTAAATCATGCCTTTTTGCAAGCGGACGATACTTCCAAAAGATGTGTGCAAGCCCGACGGCAGACTGCTGCTGCTGGAGGCGCGTCCGCAGCACCAGCAGCGGCGGCGGCAGGCGGAGATTTTCGGGGACTTGGCGGACGTGTGCGGCTTCACCCTGTGCTCGGTGCTCCGGCAGCTCTCGGATCTGTCCCGCCACTCGGTGAGCATCCTGGAGGAGCTGGAGGGAGAGCTGGTGTCCGTGTGCCACCGGTCCGGCGCGCTGGAGGGCAGAGTGGTCCGGCTGCAGAGGCACGTCGCAGAGCTGGTCAGCAAGCCTCCGCCGAGAGGTAAGAGGAAATTAAAAATCCATTTCAGTTTAAGAAAACACACACACACCTGGTGTCACTTTACACAGCCTGCAGTTGCAGGAGCAGAGTTGAACCGGTGGTGTCAAACTTCATGGTTTCTGTTCATGACTCACCGAGGGGTCATATCTGCTCTGTGCACAAGATTTATCCAGGGTGTGAGTAAGTGAGATGTTTATTATTGTAAGGTTTTTTTGTTTTTGTCAGCTGGCAGGAGAGGTGTGTGCGTTCATGTGCCGCAGGAAATATCAGAATTTACTTTGAATGATGCAGTACAGTGATTCTAATCTGCTGGAAAAAAAAGTGAAAGTCTCATTAAACCAGAGTTAATTGCCAAAATGTGAAGTTGAAGGAGGTGGAGAAAATGTAAGCACATGAATAACTGATAAAAGAATGATTCATGATGAGTTATTGTTGGTCATTTGCTTCTGAGGAAACAACAGGAAGGTTGTGGAAAGTCTCACACCTTTTCTGATCTGCGACTTTCCTGTGACGTTAGCTCTCGGGTCTGTGCAGGTTTTCCACGATGCTCCTGAAGGCAGCACGCTGTGGGCGTACAGAGAGTGGAATGTGAACTTGGTGAAGAAGCAGAGATGTCATGCATGTTTCAGAGTTTTGTCTCTCCACCTGCCACTTTTTGTTCCCTGTCACCTCCTTCGCTGCGTCAGCTCCTGCTTCTCTGTCACATTTCCCTTTAAACTCTGTCGATGTTGTCGCTCAGCTGTGGCGTTGAAGAGAGCTGTGGCAGGTCAAGGCACATTTAAGATGATGCTCTTGTCACTCACCTGTAACTTAAAGCCCCCCCATATGCTGTAAAATGTTTGGATGGTGTGTGTTGGTGTACATTCGTCTCCGGATGGAGGGGAGTTTCTCTGAGCTCTGAGCAGGATTTTGTGACATCAGAACCAGTTTGGAGGCGAATCAGGATCCAGTATGAAGCGGAAACCGCTGTCAGTGAAGGAGGAGACGTCTCGTGTTGATCACATTCATAGATTCTGGATTTTTTCCAAGTAGTACATGTAAAAAATGTCGCAATTATGGAAAAAAAAAATATTAGACACAAATGATTATTTAAAGCAAAGTCTAAAAACATCATGTCAAGAGAAAATCTGCAAGTTTGAAAAACTTTCTGATGAATTTAAGGTTTATTCTCAGTCTCAGTCGTCCTGTGTAGGGATCAGAGAAATCTCATTCATGTTTAGATTTACATGAGAGTTTGTATTTTCTGTTGTTGCTAAGTTAAAGAAGTTTTTGATGACTGGTTTTTCAGGCCGATACTTACAGACTGGGACATTTTACAGTTGACAAATCAGCGTCACTGCCGTCTGGTGGACAAATGATCTATTGGTGCCACCTCAAATCTAGTTTGGCGTCTTTATTTGGCAGTTTGCTTGTTACTTATCCGCCGACATATACACCGAATATACTGGATTGTTGAGGCCGATTTGCGAGTTTAAAAATGTGATAATGTCATATTGTTGTGATGCTAACTTTTTAAAGATAAGCTCCCGACATAGCAACCTCGATACTACCTGTAGTTGGTGAAGTCATATAGCTCCAGGTGTCCGGCAACAGCCACCACTAGTTCCTCCTCCATGACTGTTGTTTCCAAGTGAAGCCCCGCCTCCGAATTGATCGGATTGGACATTGAGTTTAATGTTCCCTCATCGTCATAAAGAGTTTTCAACGGCCCTTTTCCAGAGAGACAGGTCACCTGTTGTCAACACTAGATGAATCGTTTCAAGCTTTAAAGGACCCAGAAGACTCACAATAACAATCAATAATCTGAAATTACCAAGTGATAGATTATATTAGCCTGCAGTACAATGCAGTTCAGTGTTGATCAGAGTGACAACAGCACCTCGTGATGCTCCTTGGTTGCTTATTAATGTTATCAGTGTCACCGGGACACATGTTCTTCTATCTGACAATAGTTCATGCAAATAAGAAGCAGCCCAGATGCATGATGGGAGATTTTCACCGCGGCTGCCAACCTGTTTTACTTTGCAAACTTTGCACAAACTTATCTCGCACAGTTTTCTCAGTGTTTGCGTAACAGCCCAAGAGTGAGCGCATGAATAAAGTACGTCGACTGTGAACGCGAGTTTACGAGGCTGTCAGCTGTGTGTGTGTGTGAGTGTGTCTGTGTCTGTGTGTGTGTCTGTGTCTGTGTCTGTGTGTGTGTCTGTGTCTGTGTCTGTGTGTGTGTCTGTGTCTGTGTCTGTGTGTGTGTCTGTGTCTGTGTCTGTGTGTGTGTCTGTGTCTGTGTCTGTGTGTGTGTCTGTGTCTGTGTCTGTGTGTGTGTCTGTGTCTGTGTCTGTGTGTGTGTCTGTGTGTGTGTGTGTGTGTGTGTGAGAGAGCACGTACAGTATGATAAGAGAGAAAGTCCCTCTAAACACAGACCAGATGTAGAGCTGCAAAGAGGAGAAGAGGAAGGAAGATAAAACAAAATGCAGCTCTCCATTCAGTTTACTTTATAGAGAGTGAACTCACATGTTTGTGTGTGTGTGTGTGTGTGTATATGTTTCAGAGTGAGTGTGTGTGAGTGTGTGAGTTAAAGAGAGAGAAAAAAGAAGCATCTCTGTGCATGTGTTCATCTGTGTCAGATGCAAAGATCCTCACTCTTCTTCTCTCCTTTCTAAATTCTGTGTGGGCTCTCACTGTATCACTAACATGTGGGCAGCAGCAGCAGCAGCAGCACACGGCTAAATAATCAATAGAGCCGGCCTCGGCCTTCGTCACTCATCACCATCCTCACTCCACCACCTCTTCCTCTCTCTCTCTCTCTCTGTCTTTCCCGCCTCCCACTGTCTCAGCAGATGGAAAACAAAGGAACAGCAAGGTGTAAACATTTATGTTTTCCTTCTTTTGCTGATTTAAGATTTTTGTCTTTTCGTCGTTGTCATGCTGGTTGATGAATGAAATGAGGAGTTGAACTGGGTTTGAATGCCAGAGACGTCTTTAACTCAGAATAAGTTATTTAACTCAGAATAACTTGATGGAAAAAAATACGAGTGTGTGCACGATCCTCTCAAGAAGCTTAAGAGATTGTTTGTAGAGACTCTCTGTTGTCATCTTCTGTCTCTTAGCGGCTGTTTTAAGTCTCTTTCTTGTTGTTTTACGTGTCTTTGCAGCTTTGTGTCTCCTTGTGGTTGTTTTCTGTCTCTTTGTAGTCGTTTGGTTGACTTTTCAACAGGACGTGTTAACAGTCCCTGGTCCTGTGTCCCATAGGCCTGTTCGCTCACCCACTCATGAATACTACGCTCAGTAATGGAGACGACCCCGGACCCTGTTTCTGTTACAATACTCACAGACAATAAGCAACATTTTATGGTTTAACAGTGGGGAAATGAGCTGATGGAGTGATGCATGCATGAGTAAAAAGTTGGATGATGCATTGAAAAAGTAGAGGATTAAAAACTTTTTGAGATCTTAATTTTTTTCATAAATCGCTCCTCTTCCATTTTGCCAAGTGAAACCTGCCGATCAAACTACTTTTCTATCCCTCTTCTACTTACTACAAGCAAGCACACTTCTAAACCGCCGGTCCATGTTTTCAGTCAGATGTTATCAGCTGCAGCTAGCTAGCTAATTAAGATAACATTAGCTCCATGAGTCGGTCGCCCCAGCTGACTCCATTTAACATGAGAAACCCTCTAACGGAGCCTTGAGTTTGCACTTAATACTAAAGATCGAAGCTGAAGCTGCTGCATGCAAGCGGTTAAAAAGTCAGGCGAGTTGACGATCCGTGTAGAAGACGTGGAAACAATGAGACAGCATCGTGTTGTGTTCCAGTGTCGGGCTGTTCAGGCCTGGAATTGGAAGTATGATCAGACTTATTTCACTCTAACGAAACCCAACACAGATTTGAAGGTTTCTGCTTTATTGTTCTTCATTGTTTTGGTGAATCTGTGCGACTACAGCTCCGTGCACACAGCTTCAACATGTGGAGGACTCGGGCCCGACAGGCCTGCCGGGCCTCGTTATGGTTAGTGAGCTGATTGGATGAGCCACCGCTGTGGTTAAGGTTTGGTTAAGTTTCGCCTGCTCAGATTTGTAAGGATGAGAAAAACCTGCATCCCCCCCCCTCCCCCAATTCGAGGACGTGTGTTTCTCCTCCAATAACAACCGCTGACAATACCCACCCCTTCCCTCCAGCCACCCCTCCCCTCCACCTGCCAAAACCAGTGAAACTCGGTCAGAGTTGCATAAGGAAGGCCACGCTGAAACACATGTTCCAGGCCTGGATGAGGGGATTTTTTCCACCCGGTTTAGAGTTCGTACAGGAGTCGGGTCCCTTGAGCCGCTTCCAGGGGCCTCGATACGATGACGGGCCGGCGGGATCGGAGCAGGTTTCCTCTTCCTGCGGCGGAGAGGGAGGGGGAGGGGGAGGGGAGTCAAACTGATACAGAGGAAGAGGATGTCAGTCGTCACTTTGGACAGCTTGATAGCACGAGAGCGTGTTTGCATGTGTGACTCCTCTTTCCACTGGAAGCTGTCACTCAGATCTGAACCAGGGCCTGAACTTGAGGAATTTGTCCTCCTGCCGCTTTCTGTTTCTCACACTGGCTTCGTTTCCTGCCATTTTCTGTCGGCTGCCGTTGACCCCTAAGTGGTGCAGGAATATCCCAAGTATGTGAATGGGAACTGAAGTCTTGTGTTTTTCTTTCGGTGCCTTTTTTTTTTCCGACTTAATTCTCTGGGAAACCACATTCTTCCTTTGCCCCAAACTTGATTTTACAGGCTGATTTTGTTGCAACAAAACGCTCCCCGCTCCGTCTGACTGTCTCAGGCGAGGCAGGGTTAAATGTTTGTAGGTGCCGAGGATGTTTTAAAGGGTCAAAGGCTTGGAGGAGGAAAAGCTGCTCTCTGTGGTTTTAAATTATAAGCACATTTCATTTCTGGACAAATCCCAGTCGGTGATTTCACAGCAGGTGTTTTCCCTGAGCTGTCAAAGACAACGCACCTGCTATGACATCAGT